TGGTGCAAAGCATCAAGACGGCGAAGAGTAGGAGAAGCAGACGAGTAAGCAGGGCAACTATAATCCAGCTTAGACAGGACGAGAGAGGAATGTAAAGCAAGGAGTGCGCGCCTATCCGCTCCCCAAGAAGTATGGGACAATACCCGAAGGAGGGTAAGGGCTTTAGAGCACTCAACACGGAGGTAAGAAATATGGGGAGACCAAGACAAACGAGTGTCAAGGAATAACCCCAAAAGCTTCGCTGAATCTTTGTACTCAAGGGGATGACCATAAAGTGACAAAGAGGGACGAAGAACGACTCATTTCCGAGTAAAAGACATGACACAAGTCTTAGAAGTAGAGAACTTGAAGCCATGATCGGTGGCCCAAGACGACACAGCATCAATTGCAAGTTGAAGCTGGTGCTGAAGGAGAGGCGAATCATCACCCTGACAGCAAAGGTTAAGATCATCGACATAGAGAGCGGAGAAGACACCTGAAGGAATAGAGGAAAGAAGACCATTGAGGGCAACCAGAAAAATAGTAGTGCTCAGAACACTACCCTCCACTCTCGCCTCGTATTGCTGAAAAGAGGCAGAGAGAGCGGTACCAAGGCGCACCCGAAAGGAACGACGAGAGAGGAAGCTGCGGAGAAAGAGAGGGAGATGACCACGAAGGCCAAAAGAATGAAGTTGAGATAGAATATGATATCGCCAAGTGGTGTCGTAAGCGTTTTCCAGGTCAAAAAGGACGGCAACAACGGAGGTCTTCGCAGCAAAAGCAGTACGAATATAGACCTCCAAGTTCACCAGGACATCTGTCGTGCTGCGGCACTTGCGGAAACCAAATTGAGAAGGGGAGAGGAAGTGATGGTGTTCCAAGAACCACATCAGACGAACGTTAACCATACGTTCAAAGTGTTTGCAGACACAACTTGTGAAGAGCAATAGGGCGCAAGTCCTTAGGGGAAGTTCCCAGAGACCCCGGTTTGCGAACAGGGAGGACAACGGCATCGAGCCAGTCCTCAGGGACTGACGACGACTCCTAGATCTGATTATACAAACTCAGTATTTACTGAGACGTGCACGGAGGGAGATGGCGAAGCATCTCATAATGAATACCATCGGAGCCCGCCGCCGTAGAACCGCAGAGGGCCAGGGCAGAACGAAGTTCAGAGAGAGAGAAGGGATCGTAATAGGAAAATCGAAGACGAATGCAGACATCTAAAGGACGAGACTCAAGGACAGGTTTACGAAGAAGGAAAGATTGGGGAAGATGAAGACCAGAGCTAACAGAAGAAAAGTGGGAACCAAGTTTGGTAGCGACCTGCAACGGGTCTGCCACAAGAGTACCACGGAGGTGAAGGACCGGTGAAACATCGGGAACGAACTTACCCACTATCTTGCGGATACGCTTCCAGATCTGTGGCAAGGGAGTTTCGGACGTAATTGTGTAGACATAAAATGCCCAACATTCACGTTTAGCCACTGCACTCACTTTCCGAAAGAAAAGAAAAGAATCGGCCGTCTGCCGACGGCGGTGCCTCTTCCAGGCTGCACGCTTACAGCGGACAGCCCGAGCACAGTCTGCATTCCACCAGGGAACGAACTTCCGTGGACCCCGAGAGGAAGAGCGAGAAATAGAGCGGAGGGCAGCGTTGAAGACAGTGTCATGAAAAAGGAGGAGAGCGCGATGGAGAGGTTGAAGGGAGAGGTCAGAGAGAACAGCACTGAGGGTAAATAGGTTCCGGTCCGCTTTAGCAAACTGCCACCTAGGGAAGGAGAGGGAAGGGCGAAAAAGGAATCAAGGATTGGGAAATGGTCACTGTCATGGAGGTCATCAAGAACCTGCCACGTAAAATCTAAGTAAAGAGAAGAAGAGCAAAGAGAAAGAGAAAGACAGGAAAGGGTGCGAGTCCGAGAGTCCAAATGAGTGGGCTCGCCAAAATTCAGAAGAGACAGGGAAGAAGAGAGGATAAACGGCTCAAGAAGGCGACCTCGGGTATTCGTCAGAATATCACCCCAAAGAGAATGACGACAATTGAAATCACCCAGCAGGAGCACAGGCTCCGGCAAGGAGTCCAGTAGGTGTTTCAGATCAGAAAGAGAAAGCGGGACACTCGAGGGGAGATAAATGGAACAAACTGTGTACCATTTCCCCACAAAGATACGAGCAGCAGAACAATGGAGAGGCGAAGGAAAAAGTAAGGGGACAGAGGGAACATCAGAGCGAATCAGGAGAGCGGAAGAATTAGGAGCCCCAGCAACAACTGGGGGGGGGGGAGAGAAAGGAATAGCCACGAAAACGACCAGGACGAGCACCAAGCATCGGCTCCTGGAGACAGACACAAAGGGGCGAAAACCGTGAAATCAGAAGTTGGAGTTCGAGGAAATTGGTGTAATAACCTCGAACGTTACATTGAAGAATAGACATCGACGAGAAGAGAAAGGACAACAACAGAGAACAAGGAAGAAACAAAGGCGAAAGAGCAACATAGCACATTAAAGAATATCAGGGTCGGGATCAAGGTCAGCAAAGTCAGGGTTAGGGGGCATGGGTAAACTGAGCAAAGACGGAGGGAAGGAAGCGGGAGAACAGACCAGAGGTGGGCGGGCGGGGTCCGGAGGAAGAGGAGGAGACAACGGAGAAGAGCAGTCAAGGACAGCAGCAGGAAGATGGGGAGTAGAAAGAGGGGAGCGCAAATCAGCAAGGGCAGCGACCGAGAGGGAAGCAGGGGCCAAAGAAACCTCCATAGCAGGAACAGGCAGCGCAACCACTGAAATGGGAGGGGAAGGAGCAATAGAGCCAGTAGTAGGGGCCGAGGAAGAAAGCGAAGCCTTCTTACCCGCCGGGGAGGAGGAAGGAGAGGAGCCAGGCTTACGCTTCTGACTTAAAGAGACCGGTGTCCCAGCAACTACGTACCAGGCAACGGATTCCAGTGTCTCAAGAGAAGCTGAACGAGAGCACACACGGCGGCCGTTAGGAGAGCGATGGACATCAGCCCGCACCGACAGGCGGCGGGGAGAGTCAATAGATGGAGGAGAAGGATGGGAAGGAGGATCGGAGGAAGACGAGGAAGAAGACACAGGAGACATGACAGACCGGGTAGAAAGAAGGGGAACCCCAGACAGAGGACCAGGAGGGGGACCCTTCGGGACAGAACTCAAAGGAACAGAGGAGGGGGCAGTGGGCGTATCAGGGTCCCAGGCCCGGAAACGGTTGAGCGTCTGAGGAAGGTGGGAAGGACGAGAAGAGGAAGAGCACAACACGCGAGCATAAGAGATGTTAGCATAAGGCTGGAGCCGGCGAACCTGGCGCCTCGCCTCAGGAAGAGATAAACGCTCCCGGTGCTTCAAGTTGAGGACGGCTGCTTCAAGCTTGTAATGGATACAGGCACGGGAGAAGGTAGGATGGGCCTCACCGCAGTTGAGGCAGCGAGCCTGGGTAGAAGTGCACTCCGACTTAGAGTGACCTTCACCCCCACACAAAGGACAGAGAGAGACAGTCCCAGAGCAGCGGAGGGCACCATGCCCAAACCTCCAGCACTTGTTACAAAGCCGAGGAGAAGAAATATACTCCTCGACAGAGCACCGAGCACCAGCAAGAATGACAGAGGATGGAAGGGTCCTACCATCAAAGGTGATCTTCACAACACGAAGGGGTTGACGGCGACGACCACGAGGGGGACGAGTAAACGAGTCTACCTGGAGGACAGAATGGCCTTGGGCATCAAGGATATGCCGAATGTCATTGTGGCAGTCCTGCAGATTCCGAACACCGGTCTCAACATGGGGCGGGAGGAGAATAGTGCCAACACTGGCATTCAACTGAGCGTTCTTTGAGACCCGAACAGGGATCTCGCCAAGGCAAGATAAGGCAGCCAAGCGGGAAGCTGCATCCTGAGAAGGAGCAGCAACGACACGTGTACCGAGACGAGTGGGGTTGAAGGTAACAGACGCATCCACGGAATCAACAAGATGCCGATGGAGGGAGAAATCGTCAGGAGGCGCAGAATCAAGAGGAAGGAGATCAAAGTATTTTGCCCATGAAGCAGGACCAAACAAGGCCTGATACGCATCAGTATCGGAAAGAATCGAGCGAGTGCAGCTGTGGCGCGGACGGCGTTGAGAAACCCCAGAGAGAGAGGGGACAAAAGGCGCAGTAGTCACAACGAGAGACTTAGCCGCACCAGGGGACGAAGTGGTCACCACTGGGGGCTTGAGGCTCGACCCAACCACAGAGGAGGGAGATGAGCTGGGGGAAGAAGTCAGGAAAGTCAAAGGAGGAGCAAGGTCGGGGCCCAACGCAGCAGAGGCTACAGAGCCCGGTCTTCCAAGACAGGACGACTCGGGGGCTTGGTCGCCCACCCCACGAGCCCGAGAGGGTACAACAGAAACATTCAATGACATACAGACGAAGAGTGATAAATTCATCCACGAATGTGCCCCTATACCCACCATGGAGCCACAATTAAAGGTAGGACACCCAACAGGAAGCTATCGCGGATCATGCCGGGGGCCCCTAGGGATGCGTCGTGAGTATACGCCCCACAAACGCCACCTTAAGAACCGTCAGTCCGTCGAGATAGGGTTCAGCGACGAAAGGGGGATTGACAATAAAAGGTTCCCCTCGCTCGAGACGTTGGGTACTGCAGTTCTACGGGTGCAAGAGTATGCCTCCTCAAGCACCCGGGCGTTAAAATAGAAGAAGTCCAAAGGAATAATCATAACAAGCAAAAGGTCGGCAGGAAACGACAAGCAGATAGGTGGAGAAGAGGGGAGAGAAAAACGAAACATAAGGAAAAGGAAAAGCGATCCGGCACAATTAGAGAAGACAGCAGCAGGAGCACAAGGCCACAAAAGGACAGAGGACTGTCCCATGGTGCATCACACTCCGGCAGCGACCACTAAGCCCCCTCACGGCGCCATTGGGCCGGATGGGGAAGGGGGACAGCAACAATTTTGCCTAAAGGCCAATCTGATCTGGGTTCATCAATATCAAATAAAACTAGATCACCTGGTTTAAAGAACTTTATTATATGGGCTTGCAGCTCCATAATGGTACTCTGTCAGAACAGTTAGATACTCACGAATCCACACTTCATTCCACCAGCCTATCACTCTAGAAAGATGTTTGTAACTTTCCACTAAGTCACTTCTTCCAACACATGAGGGGTCTTCCGGATCCTCATCCTCCAGAGAGATCAAAGGACTCAGAAGACTACCTTGAATCAGATGAGAGGAATTCAGGGGTTCTCTCTGGGAGAAGTCATCTGAAAGATAGGTTAATGGTCGGTTATTGACTCGTGCTTCTATTTCCTTGACAAGGGTTTGCAACTCGGTAAGGCTAATCTTTTGTCGGTGTAAAGCTTTTTGTAAGTATTTCCTCACAGTGCCTACTATGCGTTCGTAAAATCCTTCCTGCCACGGGGCTCGAGAAGGTATAAATTTCCAGTGGCACTGTCTTTGCTTTAAGACTGTACGTACCTCTGGATGATTCCATATTTCCCTTAAGCAAGCTTCCTCTGCCACAAAGTTAGATCCATTATCAGAGATCATTAGTTTGGGACAAGATCGACGTACTGCAAACCTGCAAAAGGCTTGTAGGAAAGCCTCTGCACTCATGTCAGAGGTAACTTCTAAATGTACACCTCGTGCGGTTGCACACGTGAAGAAGCATATATAGACCTTCACCAGAATCTTGTCCGGAGTGCCTGTTAGAACAAGAGCTCCTGTGTAATCTTCACCAGTGGTGTCAAAAGGACGAAGGTGGACAACTCGTTCTTTAGGAAGAGGTGGAGGTCCTGGGTAAGGACACACTCGAGCGTCATACTTCCTGCAGATCACACAAGATTTAATAATGGATTTGCACTTTGATGACCCTGGAGAAGCCAAAAATTCTGTCTCAGATCAGTGAGAGTGTCTAACACTCCAGCATGCAATGTGCCATGTTCCTGGCAATGTAAGAGAATAAGTTTGGTTATGATGTGGTGACGAGGAAGAAGCATAGGGTTCTTTGTCTCTAAATCAATTTCCGCATGAAGCAGACGTCATCCACACCTTAGGATGTTCTAATTGTCAGAATCAAACCGCACTCCTAGAGACTTCACTAGTTTGTCTGGAAGATGTTCATAATTTCTTCCATAAGTCCATTTGGGCTTGTTTGATCCAGTATTTGAGGGGACTTGGAAATTTATATTTAATTCCTATCTTGTGAAAGAAATCAAATACAACTTGAGTAACTCCTAGTAATTTACCCAAGCTAGAATAATGATTAGGACCAATAACTAAGGATCGAGGGGGTTCAGGATCAACAGTGGGGACAGTGATATTGGTCACTATGACTTGTGGCTTCTGTTTGGGGCACTGACCACTGACCAACCATTGGGATCCTGTAAACCACATCTCGGTTTTAACTAATTGTCTCAAGGTTAATCCTCTTGAGAGGAAGCCAGTAGGAAGTTGTCCTTGGTGGGGACATTTAGTCAAACTTCTCAATTTATACTCAGATGCTACTTCTCGAATTTCCCTAACTCTATTACTGACGTTGGGAGTTTTGTTGTTAGTGTTTTTCACCCATTGTAAGATTGCCTCGTTGTCTGATAATACTACTATCGCAACAAAGTGAATATTGTCAAGTGTCTTGGTCAGGCAATGAGCCAGTCTTACACCTATTAACAAAGCTGTTAACTCCATTTGGCGTAGTGATCTTTTCTTAATTGGGGGCCACTCTAGCCTTAGAAGTAAAAATGATTGCTTAGTGCTTACTAAATAAGCTACTGCGCCGTATGCTTTGCCTGAGGCATTGCAAAAGACATGTAAATTTGTGGGTAAATTTGATCCCAAAGCATTACGAGGAAATTTTAGAATACTAAGTTTATTGAAATCCGTCGTTAATTGCTGCCATTTGTCAACTACAGAGGACCAAGAAGCCTGCCAACGGGTAAGGATGGAGGAATGGATAACAGGGTAAAAGTCGGAATAAGGAATACCTTTACGAGAGATGGGACAAGAGCGGACAGCTTCCCTAGCGGCAGCATCCGCACGCTCATTTAAAGACACACCAATATGGCTGGGAACCCAACAAAACTCAACCGACTCAAATTTACTGTGAATAAGAAACAGCCAATGCTGGATCTCGACAACTACCGGATGAACAGGATTAAAGGACCCGAGAGCCATGAGGGCACTACGAGAGTCAACAACAACCACAAAGGAAGACTGACAACGAGAAAGCAGGAGACGAAGAGCATAGAGAATAGCATAAAGTTCTGCTGTAAAGATGCTAGTCTCCGGAGGGAAGCGACACATATAAGTGCGATCAGGAAAAACAACAGAGTAGCCAACACCGTCCGCAGACTTAGACCCATCGGTGAAGACAGAAACGGAGCGGGAGTGAGAAGAAAAGTGCTCAAGGAAAAGGCGTTTTAGAACCGTAGGAGGGGTAAAAGCTTTAGTGATACGGGTCAAGGAAGTACAAAACCGCGGAAGAGGGACTCTCCACGGGGGCAAAGAAGGAACAATACGAGGAGAAACATTAGAAATACGAACGGAAAGAGAATCCTGTAAGCGAGATAACCGGACAGAAAGAGGGAGGTGGTGAAGAGGAACAGGAACCGCAGGAGGGGTAAAAGTTAAAGCACGACAGAGGCGAGAGGAAGGATGTTCTAAGGACCGCGCAAGATAGCGAAGACAGTAGCGATCACGGCGGTCCTGGAGAGAGAGGAAGCCAGTGTCAACATACAAGCTAAGGGCGGGAGTCGAACGAAAGGCACCAGAACTGAGGCGCAACCCAGTATGGTGCAAAGCATCAAGACGGCGAAGAGTAGAAGGAGAAGCAGACGAGTAAGCAGGGCAACCATAATCGAGCTTAGACAGGACGAGAGAGGAATGTAAAGCAAGGAGAGTGCGCCTATCCGCTCCCCAAGAAGTATGGGACAAGACCCGAAGGAGGGTAAGGGCCTTAGAGCACTCAACACGGAGGAAAGAGATATGGGGAGACCAAGATAAACAAGTATCAAGGAATAGCTCCAAAAGCTTCGCCAAAGCTTTGTACTCAAGGGGATGATCATAAAATGACAAAGAGGGACGAAGAACGACCCGTTTCCGAGTAAAAGTCATGGCACAAGTCTTAGAAGTAGAGAACTTGAAGCCATGATCGGTGGCCCAAGACGACACGGCATCAATCGCAAGTTGAAGCTGGCGTTGAAGAAGAGGCGAATAATCACCCTGACAGCAAAGGGTAAGATCACCGACATAGAGGGCGAAGAAGATACCAGAAGGAAGAGAGGAAAGAAGCTCATTGAGGGCAACCAGAAATAGAGTAGTGCTCAGAACACTACCCTGCGGCACACCTTCGTATTGCTGAAAAGAGGCAGAGAGAGCGGTACCAAGTCGTACCCAAAAGGAACGACGAGAGAGGAAGCTGCGGAGAAAGAGAGGGAGATGACCACGAAGGCCAAAAGAATGAAGCTGGGATAGAATATGATAACGTCAAGTGGTGTTGTAAGCCTTTTCCAGGTCAAAAAGGACGGCAACAACGGAGGTCTTCGCAGCAAAAGCAGTACGAATATAGACCTCCAAGTTCACCAGGACATCTGTTGTGCTGCGGCACTTGCGGAAACCAAATTGAGAAGGGGAGAGGAGGTGATGGTGTTCCAGGAACCACATCAGACGAACGTTAACCATACGTTCAAAGAGTTTGCAGACACAACTTGTGAGAGCAATAGGGCGAAAGTCCTTAGGGGAAGTACCCAGAGACCCCGGTTTGCGAACAGGGAGGACAACGGCATCGAGCCAGTCCTCAGGGACTGACGACGACTCCCAGATCCGATTATACAGACTCAGTAAATACTGAGACGTGCACGGAGGGAGATGGCGAAGCATCTCATAATGAATACCATCGGAGCCCGCCGCCGTAGAACCGCAGAGGGCCAGGGCAGAACGAAGTTCAGAGAGAGAGAAGGGATCATTATAGGGAAGCCGAAGACGAGTGCAGAAATCTAAAGGACGAGACTCAAGGACAGGTTTTTGAAGAAGGAAAGATTGGGGAAGATGAAGACCAGAGCTAACAAAAGAAAAGTGGGAACCCAGTTCGGAAGCGACCTGCAACGGGTCCGCCACAAGAGTACCATGGAGGTGAAGGACCGGCGAAACATCGGGAACGAACTTACCCGCAATCTTGCGGATACACTTCCAGATCTGGGCCAGAGGAGTTTCGGACGTAATTGTGGAGACATAAGATGCCCAGCATTCACGTTTAGCTGTACGGATGGCCCTACGGGCCACCGCACTCGCTTTCCGAAAGAAAAGAAAAGAATCTCAACCGTCTGCCTACGGCGGTGCCTCTTCCAGGCTGCACGCTTACAGCGGACAGCCCGAGCACAGTCCGCATTCCACCAGGGAACGCACTTCCGTGGACCCCGAGAGGAAGAGCGAGGAATAGAGCGGAGGGCAGCGTTGAAGACAGTGTCATGAAAAAGGAGGAGAGCGCGAGAGAGAGGCAGAAGGGAGAGGTCAGAGAGAGTAGCACTGAGGGTAAATAGGGTCCAGTCCGCCTTAGCAAACTGCCACCTAGGGAAGGAGAGGGAAGGGCGAAAAGAGAAAAAGGAAACAAGGATAGGGAAATGATCACTGCCATGGAGGTCATCAAGAACCTGCCACGTGAAATCTAAGTAAAGAGAAGAAGAGCAGAGAGAAAGATCAAGACAGGAAAGGGTGCGAGTCCGAGAGTTCAAATGAGTGGGCTCACCAGAATTCAGAAGAGACAGGGAAGAAGAGAGGAGAAACGGCTCAAGGAGGCGACCCCGGGTATTCGTCAGAACATCACCCCAAAGAGAATGACGACAATTGAAGTCACCCAGCAGGAGCACAGGCTCCGGCAAGGAGTCTAGGAGGTGTTTCAAATCAGGAAGAGAAAGCGGGACACTCGGGGGGAGATAAATGGAACAAACCGTGTACCATTTCCCCACAAAGATACGAGCAGCAGAACAATGGAGAGGGAAGGAAAAAGTAAAGGAACAAAGGGAACATCAGAACGAATCAAGAGAGCAGAAGAATTAGAAGCCCCAGCAATAGGGGGGGGGGGAGGGAGAAAGGAATAGCCACGAAAACGACCAGGACGAGCACCAAGCATCGGCTCCTGGAGACAGACACAAAGGCGCGAAAACCGTGAAATCAGAAGTTGGAGTTCGAGGAAATTGGCGTAATAACCTCGAATGTTCCATTGAAGAATAGACATCGACGAGAAGAGAAAGGATTGCAACAGAGAACAAGGAAGAAACAAAGGCGAAAGAGCAACACAGCACGTTAAAGAATATCAGGGTCGGGATCAGGGTCAGCAAAGTCAGGGTTAGGGGGCATGGGTAAACTGAGCAAAGACGGAGGGAAAGAAGCGGGAGAACAGACCAGAGGTGGGCGGGCGGGGTCTGGAGGAGGAGGAGGAGGAGGAGGAGACAACGGAGAGGAGCAGGCAAGGACAGCAGCAGGAAGAGGAGGGGTAGAAAGAGGGGAGCGCACCTCAGCAAGGGCAGCAACCGAGAGGGAAGCGGGGCTAAAGAAACCTCCATAGCAGGAACAGGGGGCGCAACCACCGAAATGGGAGGGGAAGGAGCGAGAGAGGCAGAAGTAGGGGCCGAGGAAGAAAGTGAAGCCTCCTTACCCGCCGGGGAGGAGGACGGAGCTAGGCTTAGGTTTCTGACTTAAAGAGACAGGTGTCCCAGCAACCACGTACTGGGCAACGGATTCCAGCATCTCAACAGGAGAAGCTGAACGAGAGTACACACGACGGCCGTTTGGAGAGCGATGGACATCAGCCTGCACCGACAAGCGGCAGGGAGAGTCAATAAACGGAGGGGAAGGAGGATCGGAGGGAAACGAGGAAGAAGACACAGGAGACATGACAGACCGGGTAGAAAGAAGGGAAACCCCAGACAGAGGACCAGGAGGGGGACCCTTCGGGAGAGAACTCGAAGGAACAGCGGAGGAGGCAGTGGGCGCATCAGGGTCCAAGGCCCGGAAACGGTTGCGAGTCTGAGGAAGGTTGGAAGGACGAGGATATGAAGAGCGCAACATGCGAGCTTAAGAGACGTTAGCATAAGGCGGGAGCCGGCGAACCTGGCGCCTCGCCTCAGGAAAACAAACGTTCCCGGTGCTTCAGGTTGAGGACGGCTGCCTCAAGCTTGTAATGGACACAGGCACGGGAGAAGGTAGGATGGGCCTCACCGCAGTTGAGGCAGCGAGCTTGGGGAGAAGTGCACTCCGACTTGGAGTGACCTTCACCCCCACACAAAGGACAGAGAGAGACAGTCCCAGAGCAGCGGAGGGCACCATGCCCAAACCTCCAGCACATGTTGCAGAGCCGAGGAGAAGGAATGTACTCCTGGACAGAGCACCTGGCACCAGCA